GACACTACATGGTAGAGCAGAAATAGCCCCACTAGGGGTCAGGGGCTCTCGTATCCAGCCACCAAATAGCTGTGTGATATTCAGCAAGTTGCCTTGCTTCTCTGGGCCCTCCTTTAACAGAGGAAGGGGTTGAACCAGACGGTCTGTAAACATCCATCCCGGTTAAACCTTTGTTGCAACCAACGCAAATGTCCAGATGCTCTTGTTCCTTCCTGAGACCAACTGCGGGTTGGAGTGGAAGCTGAGTCAGATGGCTGTGACTGCACCCTCTCCCATCTGGCAGCCTGGAGAAAGGCACACCTCTCACCTCCCCCCACCCCCTTGTTGATGATACTGTGGAGCACCCACGTGTCTCTGAGTACCTGGCAGTCACAGCTGGCCTGGGCCAGTGTCTAATGAAGGTCACTTATCAAATTCATTCATGAGCAGCCTCTTAAAATTCTCTCCATAGATCTGTTTCTACGAGAGCAGTTAGTGTCCATGAGTCATGAAGATATTTAACATTTTTCCTGAGTCGCATCTTACAGCTCAGACCTCTTGGGCACTGCTCTCAGCAGAGTCTCAGCTCTCCAGTTTGCTAACTGGGCTTCACTGTTGTGAGTGAACTAAGCCCTGAGTGAGTGTAGGGCCTTTATTCAAATAATGCATTCCTGCCAGGGCCTTCGTCCTTTGTTAAAGCCTGAAGGTAAAACCTTGTTGGTTGTGCCAAAGATCTGTAGGCATCGCCTTTCACATGATGGTGAGAACCAGATAGCCAGCTCTTTTGGGGGTTGCTAAGCTGGCCTCTGATTTTCCAGGTTGTGTGTCCATTGTGACACTAGGAAGCAGTCTTGGAGTTGAGCCCTCCTCAGTTAAACTCTTGCATGCCACCGGAATTTCTATGGCCGAGCCTGATGCCTGACACCATTCCCTTGAGGAATCCCTAGAAAACCTTTGACATCACTCTGTCCCTCTTACAGTCCCATAGCGCTTTACACCTGTCACTGGTCACCACCTGTCTTGTGTTGGAGATTGTAATGAATATGTCTGATTTTGGAGTGGGCCTCTCCCTTCCAGAACTCAGACTCCAAAGGTACTTACGTCATCAGTGTGGAATGGACTCTATCCTACTGGTGAGGGTGCAATGGAATGCTCTCTCCTTGCGTGCACCTGCCTGGTTCTTCCTAATGTATGATATTAACCAATGTCACCCCAATACATTTAATAAAAATAAATTAAGTAAAATAAAATGTTTGCTCTAAATACAAATTTGTATACCTTAAAAACTATTGTAGTAAATCATGTTTTAATTGAAGAAAAAAAGAAAATGTTTTATGAAGTGCCTTACAATGAGGCCATAAGCTTTGGGATTCTTTAGGAAGCCCCCAAAGTTTGATTCCTTGGGCATAATGATAGTAAAATAGGCTGTAAACAGCCAGAAAGAACATTCATTAGTTGAGGAAAATTTGGCAAGTCTACGCGGGCTGCTATAGTGGCTTCTATCAGGTTTGCAGAATAGAAGCTGTGTAGAGGGGGAAATGTGTTATCATTTAGGTTTAGAATTGGCTAAATATAGCAGAAAACCCCCAAACAACACTGGATTAAGCATGAGACTTTACTTTTTCTGTCAGGTAGAAAGTCAGGAGGTAGGCATTCAGGGCAGAGACCTAATTTACTGTTTTCCATCCTTAAGAGAGTTACCTCCTGATCCAAAACAGCTGTTGAAGCACCAGCCATTGTACTAATATCCCAGAAGGAAAGACAAAAGAGCCCTCCTGGAAGGTCCCACTCAATGTCCACTTATATCTCATTAGCTAAAAGTAACAGGGGCACTAGCTATAGTGACCGCTGGGAAATGGGGTCTTTCGCAGGGACATTGCCTCACCCTGAGACATAAAGGCTCTATTCCCAGGGAAGATGGAGAAGTAGAGCGGTGGCACAGAATAGACGCCCAGCACTTACTTGAATGAATAGGTGGGTAAGTGATGGAGAGTTTCTGTGGCTTAACTGTGGACCAAGCCCTCATATTAGTAGTATTCGAGATATGACAAGATTAACACATTTCTGATACCACCATGCAGGATGGAGGGAACCTTTGGAAACTTCGAAAACTCAGTAGGAACTTGGCAGAGAGCATGCTCTGCAAGGGCCCTGTAGCTGGGCTTCGTCTCGCCCTTCTTTATAAGAGCCCTGGTTCCCTAGTTTGGAACTCACCCAGCGCATGGCAGTGGATGAGACGGTGCTGGCCGGGTGTGGAAGCCGTGTTTCTGAAGGTCCATGAGAGGGTCTCTTTTATTTTTATGTCTTCATTGATTTCAGAGAGAGGGAGGGAGAAGGAGAGAGAGAGAGAAACATCAATGATGAGAGAGTCATTGACCGGCCGCCTCCTGCGCGCCCCCAACTGGGGATCGAGCCCGTAACCAGGGCATGTGCCCTGACCGGGAATCGAACCCCGATCTCCTGGATCCTAGGTCGATGCTTAACTGCTGAGCCACACTGGCCAGACAAGGATCTCTTTTTTTTATCTGAGGAAAGAAGAGCGTCATAATTCAAGCAGGGAGACCTGGGGGAAGAGTTTTCACCCTTAACTGATGCTGAATTGAAATACTAAAATTTCCTTAAAAACACATACAGATCCCTTCTTAGAAAGTGTCCCGATCCTGTGGGCTTCACTGTGGGCTTCACTGTGGGCTTCACTGTGGGCTTCACTGTGGGCTGGTGTTGGTTTGAGCCTGTACGAAGTCTGCGGTGCAGGGTGGGGGCAGCTTGTAAGCGGCAGGTCCCCGTGCTCCAGCCTTTCCCCTGCATCACATGTGGGCGGGCGGAGGGCCCCGGGAGGGCTGCGCTCATGGGACAGCCCGGGATGGGCCCCGAGGCGCAGGGTCTGGAGCAGGGAGTTGTGTCGGGACAGCCCGGGATGGGCCCCCCAGGCGCGGGGTCTGGAGCAGGGAGTTGTGTCGCCGAGAGCACACTGAGCTGTCTTGTCACTTCTCAGTGGCTTGGTCAGCTTTACAGAGGGCAGGCCCCTTGTCCCCACCGTGTGGCTGAGGCACACCTGCGTGGGTGCGTGGTCCCAGGGCACGCAGTTGTCTGTAGCGGGCAGGTCCCTGGGCCGCTGGTTGAAGCTCTAGCCTGGCATTCACTCAAGGCCTTCACTCCTGATGCCTTTTTGAACCGGGCCGTCTCCTGCAGACACTGTTTCATAACGCTGCTTCCCCCTGCCCCCTACCCCCCATTTTCAAATCATTTTCATCTTTAATCCTCAGTTCAGGACCATCCTTTTAAGAAGCTGCCCTCCATTCCCTCCACTGGAAGCAGCTTCTCCTTCCCCTCCCCTCGCTCTACACGGTTCCCACGTCCCCTGGCGCTCCCGTGGCGGCCTGGTGCCACCGGCTTCTGCATGTCCGCTCCACGCCCGGTTCAGCTCCCTGACCACATCGCCGTTGCCCGGAGGCGCGGGTGTGGTACCCAGTCGCGTTCCCTGAATGATGGAGCGCGGCACCCGTGGGGTCACAGAGCTGTTCCTGCCCTGGGGCTGATGGGCTCCAACTCTGATTTTGTTTCCCTTAACTGTCTTCGAAAGTGTCCTCAGCCTGTGGTTTCTGAAGACTTCCTCTAAGTCATGTGAGACTTGCTCTGAGGATTTGTGGGGGCCCCGTTATTCCCCTTCACAGTCCCAGGGGCTGCCCCGTGGGTGTTCCCCAAGTTTATGGAACTGACATGAGAACCTGGTTATGTGAGGGGGCCAGCATTTGGCAATGGTTTGCCTGTGCTCTGGCGGGGAATTCAAGGTGAGCCTGCGAGAGTGGTGACCTGAGGGTGTGTTGTTGATTTCTGATGCAGTCACATGGTTCACTCTTGAAGGAGGCATGTTTGCTCTACAAAGAAATAAAATGCGAGTCAACTATGCCATTTTATGCTTTCTGGTAGTCCCAGTAAAAAAGTGAAAAGAGCCCTGGCTGATGTTGCTCAGTGGTTAGAACACTGGCCTGGGTCATGGGTTCGATTGCCGGTCAAGGACACGTACCTGGGTTGCAGGTTTGATCCGCTGCCCTGGTTGGGGAGCATGCGGGAGGCAACCAGTCGTGTCTCTCTCCCATCAGTGTTTCCTTTGTCTCCCTCCTTCCTCCCTTCCACTCTTTCTAAAAATCAATGGAAAAAAATATACTCCAGCAAGGATTAACAAAAAAATTAGAAACAGGTGAAATCAATCTTAATATTTTACTTAACCCAGTATATCCAAAACATTGTCATTTTATGATGTAATCCATATGGAAATTATGAAGGCGATATTCTTTTTTTGTACCGTCTTTATAATTTGGGGTGTTTTACGCTCAGTTTGGATGGATGACATTTCACTGTTCGAAGCCACATGTAGCCGGTGGTAGTCCAGTGTGGTCACCTGCCATGTCTGCTCATTCTTTGACTTGATGTTCCCTGAAAGTGAATGTGAATCGAGTGGGGACCTGCCTGAGTGACAGCACTGGGGTGGGACTCGCAGGACCTGGAGTCTGGTCACAGCTCTGCTCCTCATCAGCTTTGTGAGCCTGGGGAAGTCCCAGGTCTCTCATGCAATAGTTCCTACCTGTAGAATGAAGCCATTGGAGTGTGATCCCCGGGGGCCTGTCTGCTTCTGACAAGCTATGAATTGAGCCACAGATCTGGGCAGGGATGGTGTGGATACAGGGATACCATTGTATCCACCTTGGCATCATTACCAAATGAGAACTACTCTATGAAAAGCCACGGTTGGCCCTGCCTGTCATATGAGGGGCTGGTTTGCCATCACTGACTTTGACCAAAAGTTGGCATGTTTACCTGATCTGTTGGGTTCTGGGCTGTGAAAATTGTCCAGTCACCTATCCATCCAGCATTTACAAAGACCTGCGGGTGCCTGGCCTGTTCCCATAGTGGATAGGGCATGTCCCAGCCCTTGGGACACTCTTCTTTTGGAGAGTGTGGTGGGTCAGCAGAAGCCCTGACCATTTCCTGAGGTCTCAAGAAGGTTCTTTCTCACACAGGCTCAGCTGGAAGCTCAGAAAGCCACGCAGGACTTCCAGAGGGCCACGGAAGTGCTCCGGGCCGCCAAGGAAACCATCTCCCTGGCCGAGCAGCGGCTGCTGGAGGACGACAAGCGGCAGTTCGACTCTGCCTGGCAGGAGATGCTGAATCATGCCACCCAGAGGGTATGAGTCAGTTGTGTGTGCCCGTGGGAGGGTGCACCAGGGTGTGCGAACATGTCTGTCTGCAAGTGTCTGTGAGCGTGTGGGTGTCCCGATCAGGGGTGCCTGCACGCCCGTGGGTGGGTGTGGCAGCAACCTTCACGTCACCCCTTGTTTGTCAGCCTGCCCCCTGGTTCTTGTGAGCTCTGTGTGCACGGTTTTCCCCAAGCAGAGGACACAGACTCCTAGGCATGTGGCCTAAAACCGCCCTCTAAAAGTCACAGGGCAGGAATAGAAAAGTCAGGAGTTAATGCCAGCAGCCTCTCCCTTTTCAATGTCACTTGTCACAGTGGTTCAAGTCCTGCGGGACCTGATAATTAAAGATGGCCTTGTGCTTCCCTAAATGGAAAGTCTGGCACACGAATGATTTGACTTAGGCATCCACTTGGCTGTGGGCTCTGTACTACCTCCCCCTCCCGCAGAAGCCTGAGACTGCTGGCTGGGCCTGTGTGGACTTGGGCGTCCTGCCCCCTAGTGGACACGATGCTCAGAGAGCCAAACACAGGCTGGAAGAGCTTTCCTGGGTCAGCTGATGAAAACCCAAAGCGGAGGCTGGAAATCTTGGCAATTTCCAAGCCACAGCCTGAAAGATGTGAAAAGGGGACACACACACACACACACACTCTCTCACACTCTCACACTCTCTCTCACACACTCTCACACACACACACACACACACTCTCTCTCTCTTCCTCTCTTTCCCTCCCTCTCCCTCTCCCTCTCTCTCTCAGAGTAGCTCCTTCCAAGAAATTAGCTGAAGGTCGCCTTTCCTTTTATTCTCCCTCCACCCCAACGGAAGGTCCAGACTAGCTAGTAAGAAACCATTTCAGAAATCACCCTCTTCCCTTATCCCCCTTCTTTCCTTCCCCACCCATTGCAGCTCACGGCTCATGCATGATTCTGTACTTAATGGAGGGGCTCCCTGGTTACCTAGGAGATTTCACCAAGGTGACATGCTTGGTGACTTTCTCCCTGGAGGCTGAGTTGGGGTTGGAGGGGTCTCTTCTGAGAGTGAGGTTGTATGTGGGGCAGGGGAGATTGGGACAGGGCATGGTTGATGTGGCCTGATGGGGTGAAGCTGGGGACAGCGACACGCTTGCTGCCTCCTGAGTCTTGACTGGTAATATTTTCAAGGGCTTGGAGTTTTCTGGGTGTTTACTTTTAGAAAGTCGTCGTCGCTTCTTTTTGCAGACTAGGGGCTGAAAATAGACTAGGGCACTGTGTGCAGCTGGTGAGAACCCTGCTTCTTGCAGGTTCCTCTGGGAACCCTTTCTGTACAGTAGCCTCAAGTCACAGCCTTTCTAAGTCAGTCTCTCTATCACGCTTTCAGCTCCTTAAAGGTGAACCCTGCAATGAATTCTTTGGTAATGGAACAGCTCACCCCCAACATGTTGTCTTCTGTCTGATAGGCTTGGGGTTCTGAGTTCTCATTTAGGTCACACCAGTAAACCGTGAAAGCCTAAGATTTAAGGCAAGACTGTGTCCAGCATGAGATGTTTTTAGTGCATTTTATTTCTTTGTGAAATCTTTGGTGTTAGAAGCAAGGAGAAAGGATTCTCCTCGCCGTTTGGTCTTGGTTGAGAAGTCATTTTAGCAAGCACATCACTACATGCCAGCTTAGCCCAGTTCCCTCCTCTGGCTTTGTTTTAATTCTGTTGATTTTAAAAGTATCTCAAGCATTGAAACCTTTGTTAAGATAAATATTTTAAAGAAGGTAAAAGCATAACTCCAATAAATATAAATGTTCTTGTGTCAAAGATTTTAATTCATTAATAAAGGAGGGAACTAATAAGATGTTACAACTATTTCAAAGGAGAATTCAATAAACACAGACTCATGTAGAAAACCAGGGATGCTGAAACAAATTTACAAACTAATGCAAAACTGGTCAGTATTTTACGGGGTAATCAATGATCTAATGCATCTCCGCTGGGACACAATTCATCTTCATTTCTAGGAAAAAGAATCACTTGTTTTACTATCAGTTTTCTACAACTCACAGGGTTGTAAAATAGCTCCAGGACAGTGAAAGCCAGAGATAACCTGAGAGGATATGCTCGGCGGACACCCAGTACTTTTTTATGCTTACTTTGGCCTTTCATAATTTTCCCTGGCACTAAAAAAAAATCCTTATTGTAAGTAAGTGCATAAATTAACTATCCCAGGGCTGACTGGCTGTGACTGGAGGGGGTGCTAGAACATCGGTGCCTCCTGCCATGGGCTTCTCTTTTAACCTTGAGTTAAAGGCATGGTGGTGCCTTCCTAAAATCGTCCTGCTGGGTTTGAGAGTGGACCAATCACCTAGGGCCCTCTGTACTCGTCTCTCATGCTCTTCAGGTAAAACAAAGAACAGCCTGTGAGCCTAACCTCACTCCTTTCTCTCCAGTTCATTCTGTAACACTTGTTAGAATTGTAGGTAGAAGATGGGAAAGGAACTGCGAGCTGCTTATGTGGCTTGAACTGCTGTATGTTCCTGCAGCATCTCTTCTTAAGGCAGGCCTTGTTCTGATTGCCCATGTGTCAGGGAATGGGCCTTTGAACTGCCATTTTTTGTTTTGTTTTGCTTTCGTTTTGAGAGAGAGAAACATCAAGGATGAGAGTCACTGATTGGCTGCCTCCTGTAGGGATCAAGCCCACAACCCAGGCATGTGCCCTGACTGGGAATCGTACTATGACCTCCAGGTTCATGGGTTGACTCTCAACCACTGAACCACGCTGGCCGGGTGAGCTGCTGTATTTTTGGGCTCTTGATTGCTGTTTTTTTGTGTTTTTGAAATTCATGTTAATCAAAAGACTTAACAAAATGTTCCCACTAGAATTTCCCACCAGGATGTTGAGTGGTTTCCTGGTCACAAACTTGTGAACCTCAAAATCTGGTATGAATGATTTGATATTGTTTAAATGTAAAGTTTGACCCTTCTGGAGCCTGGATTCTTCAGTATCCATCAGCTAATTCAGGATGTTTGAGGAAAGGGCCAAACCGCTGAGGTCATAATTGCCCTGTTGTCCTGACGCTGTCAGGCCTGGTTTTGCTAGCATCCCAGTTCCTTGGTGTCTGAGTTCCCGCTGGACTGATGCCCATTTGCCTGCCTGTCAGTCCGTCCCTGCCCACGGGCGGAAGCAGGGGGAGCCCAAGGTGGCTATTTAGAGCCAGGAGGGCTGAGCAGAAGGAAAGGGACATAAATCAGAGAATGCTTCGTATTTTTCTCTTATTTTTGTTTTTCCTGTTTTCTTTCTTGGTCATTGTCACAGCCAATTTGGCTATTTAGTACTACCTGCTGAGACTTTTCCAAAATAGAAAAGTAGGAAGAAGTAATCCTATTCTAGTTGGAAGTTAGTTTAATCTTAGTCTGCCTACTAATTTACTCAAAGGATATTTAAAAAAAATGATTTAAGTAATACTCTACAAGGGCCTGTTCGGGGCTTGACCTGTGCTGTTTTTGAAGGTCATGGAGGCAGAGCACACCAAGACAAGGAGCGAGCTGGTGCACAAGGAGACAGCTGCCAGGTACAACGCAGCCATGGGCCGCATGCGGCAGCTGGAGAAGAAACTCAAGAGAGCCATCAACAAATCCAAGTGAGTCTGGGCGTGAGGGTCCCTGGGGCCATGCGCTGGTTATCTTGCGAATCTTCTCAACCTTTTATGTGCCTTGCACTCAGGGACCTACCTGCCTCACCAGGACCCCCCTGCCCAGGCTCCCTCTGCCTGCCAGCACCCAGAGGGACAAGGTGCTGAGTGGTGGGACTGCTCCTGGGAAAGATAGAAAAAGGAATTTCAAAAGCAGACCATTCCACGGCCCATTGGCTGGGCCTCAGTTTATCTGTCAGTATAATGCAGATGAGCTGCGACACAATATATGTTCTCTGTGGACCAAGAGCTGATGGAATGGTACAGGATGGTTTTAATGGAGGTTTTTTCCAAGCTTTTCTCACTATCGTTCCTATATATTTGTATACAATAATGATCTTGGAGAAAAACCCCCTGCTTTACAGCTGCTGGGCCTCCAAGCAAGAGACAGGACTTGGAATGGCCTAGACCCAAAAGCCAAAGACAGACCCAGAGCTTCTTGGTAGGTGAACAGGTCAAGAATAAAACACTGGTCTATACTTAGTACTCAGAAACCAGAGTTGCTAAAGAGCCAGCGTCTTCTGGCTGACCTAGAACTTGGGACTAGAATGTTTGCATTTTTTGCTGTCTCTTGCCCATGACCTGGTTGGGTCTGTAGACCACCTGATACCTTTAGTCCTGGACAGAGCCCAAGAGGGCCAACCTGGGCCTGTCCTTCCAGTGGCTGTGCTGTATTCAGTGGGGGTAGGACTGGTGTTTCTAGTTGAGCTCAGCAGAGGGTGTATTTTGAGGCAGCCCTTTCTCCACCCTCATCTGCTAGTCATCCCTGGGGAGATGCCCTCCTTAGAAGAGATCCAGGCCAAATTGGCTGCTGGGCACACACTTGTGTGGCCTGGAACAGTGTCCCCAGAGAGGAAAGTGAACCAGGATGCAGGGGGTCCACGCTGTGTACACAGTGGGTTCCCCATACCTTGAGTGAACCCAGTGGTTCTGACGGGCGCCTGTATCCGTCAGGCCCCAGAGTTGGGAGCACTACCTGCAGCTCACGGCCTTGTCAGTTTACTAAATCCTGGAAGGATGACCTGGCCAGCTGTAGCTAGTGCCTCATACACTTCATGGAGTTTATTAGTGGCCATTGTGTTACATTACTCTTACGTTTTTTTCTTCCTGTCCTTCACAGGCCTTATTTTGAACTCAAGGCAAAGTACTACATGCAGCTTGAGGTATGTATTGCTGATGGGATTTTTCTGCAAAGCTCCACTTTTTGTGATACTTTCAAATAGTTCATTTGAATAGTTTAACTATAAGAGGAGAATGGAGATACATTCTTTATGGAGTTTTCAGGCCTCAAAATGGTCTTGGTTGGGTCAGGGGTAGTCTCTGAAGTTCTCTACATCTGCTGACCAGTCACTTTCTATATTGTACTGGGCAGTGGTTCTCAGTGTGCTCCTAGGACCAGCAGCATCAGCATCGCCCACCCTAGACCCACTGAATCTGAAACTGCCAGTGGAATCCAGCCACCCGAGATCTAACAAGCCCTCCAGGGGATTCTGATGCAAGGTCAAGTTTGAGAACCACAGGGCTAGGACCAAATGGCTGGAATGTGGGACCTGTGTGTGAATTTGACACCCACTGTTGCTTCCCTGATGGGGTTCATTCTGCCAGTGGTAGTTTCTGGATAACAGAGCTTTAGTTTGTCACCCAGATGGGAGCTGGAGGTGGTGGTGGCTGCTTTTATATCTGGTGTGTGGATAGCTTTGAGAAGAGTAATCAGGTCCTCAGCCATGTCTTGGGAAAGTCTTGGGAGCGGAATGATCACAAGGCCCGAAGGGGCAGCCTTCACTTACTGAGCCTCCTGTTCTCCTGACCAGCAATTAAAGAAGACCGTGGACGACCTGCAGGCCAAGCTAGCCCTGGCGAAAGGCGAGTACAAGACGGCCCTGAAGAACCTGGAGATGATCTCAGATGAGATCCACGAGCGGCGGCGCTCCAGCGCCATGGGGCCTCGGGGCTGCGGGGTCGGGGCTGAGGGCAGCGGCACATCCGTGGAGGACCTGCCAGGGCGCAAACCTGACCCAGACGCCGTTTCAGGTGAGTCGGGCTTGTGTGCAAGTGGGGAGATGACACAGCTGTGTGATCAGCTTCCAGGGCTGTCTCATCGTCAGTGGAGGGCCTCAGAGGTGAGTGGGACTGAGGGCTTTCTCTGGTGGCTTCCCACATTTTGTGGAACGCTGTGTTCCTCAAAGTTGGGATTCTGTGGTCAAATAAGTTTGGAAAATGTCTTATGTTCACCCCTGAGGTTCAAAGTGCATATTAGGGAACATACAAGCGTCTGAGAAGTACTGCAGGAAAGAAGAGTTGTCTAAGAATAGGGGCTTTGGAATTAGGTTTGATTCCGAAAATCATGGCCTTCTCATCGTTACTAGCACATGATGCAGGCAAGGGTTTAACCTTACACCTCCATTTCTTCACCCGTGCAGTGGGGAGTATGACGGTGCCTCCCACCTACTGGAGAGAGGCGGTGAGGAGGAGAGGAAATAACACTGGCGCCCAGCGAGTGCTCCACAGTGGTGGCTGTCACTGGCGTCTGACCAGAGAGCCTTTTTCCAGGGAAACTGGTAACAGGTGTGATGTGGCTTCCTTTCTGTTAACCATGAAGACCCCGCCAGCGCTGTCTCTGCACACTTCCTCCTCCTCTTCCGTGGAATAGTCCCTGTTGCCTCTTTCCCAAGCTCCTTTCTCAGGTGTTCTTTAAGCCAGTCAACAAACGTTTAAGGGCCAGGCTCAAGGTAAAGGAAGAGGAAACTATATTTTGAGCATCAACAATGTGAGGCCTTTAATATACATCATCTCATAAACCCTGTATGGAGAGGAACATGAAGCTCAGAGAGGTTAAGTAACTGGACTAAGACTATACAGCAAGTAGTGGGAACGGGACTGGGATTCAGACTGGAGCCCATTTTGTCCCCAACATTTTAGGATTTCTCATTTGTGGTAATCCTCTAGGGGACGCTACAAGGCTGTTCTTAAAGATGAGCGGGGACAAAAGGGGAGGAGAGAGAAACATCTATGCAGCCGCAGGACTATGTGCAGGCAGAAGGGGAAATAAAGGCTGGAGCAGCTTTCAAACCATGAAAATGACGTATCTCTGGGCCTTGGTTACTGTGGTCTAGACAGTAAGTGAAGCACAAGTTACAGAGCACTGGGAAGGAATTTCCCGGCAAATCACGACCTAGGTAGGCTCTGAGCGTTGTCTTTTGAGATCAGAAGTCACCTGGAAGATAACAAAGGTCCCAACAGGTACTCCAAGCAGGGCTGTTTTTCCAGCAGCCCCTGCTTCTGCTGTGGAAGGAAGCCCTGACGTCAGGCTGGCTTTGCTGGGGATCCTTTACAAAGGGCCAGCTCTCGTCCTGTGCACGTGAGGATCAATTTGGGGGAATGGGGTAGAGAAAAGCCCCTCATCTGTGGCTGAATTCATCTTCTACCTTTAGGCAATGTCTACTGACACTAACTTCTAGGGGACACACAGGCTAGAAAGTAATTGCAAGGACAATGAACATCCATGGGCTCCAGCTGCCAGCTGTGTCCCGAGTCTGGTCATGCGCCTTTTATCAGACACCCACAGTGGCAGGGATTCTGCAGTTCTCATGCCATGTGTAGCTATCTGCCAGAACCTGTGTGACTGGTGTTCTCTCTCATCCTAGTGGCCTCTGAAGCCTTTGAAGATGACAACTGCAGCAACTTTGTGTCTGAAGATGACTCGGAGACCCAGTCTTTGTCCAGCTTTAGTTCAGGACCCACGAGCCCATCTGAGACGGTCGACCAATTCTCTGCAGTTGTGAGGCCCGGCAGCCTGGATCTGCCCAGCCCTGTGTCCCTGTCAGAGTTTGGGATGATGTTCCCGGTATTAGGCCCTCGCAGCGAATGCAGTGGGGCCTCCTCCCCGGAGTGTGAGGTGGAACGAGGTAAGTTGCAGCCCTGTCACCAGTGGTGCTATCCCAGATGACTCACCGCTTTTGAGGCCAGATCTCTGCACTGTTCTAGACCTTGGCCAGGTCTTGGAGCCCCCAGTGCTGTGTTACTGGGTCTGTGTGAATGTGCTGTTGGTGTTTATCCCTGAGATAGTTTCCAAGTCCTGTTCTGGGAGCTCCTAGCTCCATAGCTTGGGTTCTGTGTCTCATCACAACAGTCCTCTTGACAAGCACATGCTAGAGTTTCTGTTTTCCAGCTATTAAATGAGCATGACAAATTTCATCTCTATGGATAAGGTATATATAAAACGCCTCAAGGAATAAAAGCAGTTATGTGATGGACCCTTTGTGATACACATGGTTGGGCAACACTGGGTTGAGTTGGCTGACTGAGTTGGGCCAACTAAGTGACTCTTGAATACTCACTTAATATTTACATTTCTATAGGAGACAGAGCAGAAGGGGCAGAGAATAAAACAAGTGACAAAGCCAACAACAATCGGGGGCTTAGCAACAGCAGCAGTGATGGTGGCAAGAGCCAAAGCAGCGCCTCCCCTGAGGGCCAGGCCTTGGTGAACAGGATGAAGCAGCTCGCCCTCCAGTGCGCAAAGGGAAGAGATGGGATTATTGCTGATGTAAAAGTGGTGCAGATCGGCTGATCCATCCAAGGTTCTGGCCCCAATACATATCACTATTTAAACGAAACTGTGGAGAATGTTGTGCCAATAATCCTTTAATACATGCCAAATCGTAAGCGTTTACTCTAAACTGCACTAGTGAAGTTTCGGCGACCTTGAGGGCTGAAGACTTTTCTTCTGGGTAAGAGCTCTTAGGCTGGTTTGTTTTCCAGAGCAGAATTTTTGTTGCAGGTGGACTGTGACCAGGTTCACAGTCTTTGTGGAGCATTAACTGCAACAGTGTTATGGAAGCAATAACTAGTTCCTACGAAAGATCCCGAGCCAGGAAAGGAGCTTGGAAGCTGACCCCACCTGGGGTCAACAGCTTGCTTCTCTTTCCCATCTCTCACCCTCAGTTTGGGAAAATATGTTCTCTCCTTTGTATCTCAGGGGGGGATCTAAATGAAAAGAGGAAGCTCAAATATTCAGAACATACCTTTTTGACCCAGTGAAGGCATAAAAAGTCCAAGAACATAATTCATTTTTATCATCTCTGGTGTTGAGAAGGGGCTTTAAAAAGTGTATGTTGGGACACCCATTAAAACCATTTTCTATAAAGGTTACTATGAACTGCACTTTTGGGGGGTGGGAAAGGTGAATGCCAGTGTGGGAATGGGGGATTGGGGGGATGAGGGTAGCAAGGACATGCCATAGAATGGGATTTGTGGCTGTGGGAGAGAAGGTTCTATAGCATAAACCTGATCCCACCAGCTGCCAGCCAAGGGGACTTATTCTAAGAAGTGCATGTGAAGAACGGTTGCCACTGTTATTCTAGATTGACAAGGTGTTAATTTCTCTGTAGGTTGTAACTTTAAAAATAAAAAACTTATTTAAGGGTTATGCTACACTAGTATTTCTTAGAGGAAATTGTTTCTTAAAGCTAGGAAAGGGAGTAGGCATGTGTTGGCAAAGGCTGTTAACTAGATGCAATGGAGTCTGTTAGTCTAATAGTGAGTGTTAAGACTGCTTTTCTTTAATGTTTTCAATGTTACACATATTTAAGAGCATTGTATTTTATGTTAAGAAAACTTGGCATTTCTAAAAGGAAAAAAGCAACCCCATTTCAAGTTGTTCGTTAATTCTGTCACAACTGGTATATTTTAGTCATTTGTAAATCTTCATACTGTAGCGTTTTCTCCTTTTTTAATGACTGATACAGTATCTTAATTACAAGGTTATTTTGTACTTGTCTTAATACCTTAAGTGTAATAAAACCCGCTTAAGAAAATGTCTAGCTTTCTATGACTTCAAATGAGAAATCTCGATGTTGCCTAAATCTTCTAATCTAGGCAACTTTCTTGCCATAGGAAGAGCATGGAATGCAGTGGTCATCTGTTCTTATTTTCAATTAAAAGTCATGGATCCTCATAATTTAAGCCCCAATTACCAAGGTTTGAATCAGAATTCTACTTTTGCTGCTACAAAACTTAGCAATAAGGAGACAGTGGCAGGAAAATAAAGACAAGATGGTTTTATCGAAAGACTGGTTCTCAATCTCTGCTGCACACTGGGAATCTCCCAGGAAGCTTAAAAATAATGCTCGCTGGTCTGAGCTCTGGAGATTGATTTGGGGTATGTGTGGGCATTGGGCTCTTAAAAGCTCCCCAGGTGATTCTATTCTCTATATTGGTCTAGCCAAAATTACTCATTTTCCTTCCTTATATATCTGTAGCACTGTCTTTAGAGCTCTATTATAGAATTCAACATTACAATACATTAAACTGTTCATATATAGGTCTCCTTCATTAGACTTTTGAGGGGAGGGATTAGATCTTAATTCATTTTGCATCCTGTAAGATCTTTAACACAAGAGGTTTAACTCATATGTGTTTGTAATAAATATAACTCTTACGCTTTAGAATTTTTCTTTCAAGGGCTACAGAAAATTAGTTCAACTCATCTACCTAAAAATATCTAAAATTGAAAGCACTAAATATTTATAAACGAGAAATCTCACTACTATAACAACCTATCACTATCCTGAATGTTAAAGAACAGGTGTTTTTTTTTTAAGCATGAATTTTCAAGCAAATAATGAGTTTTCTCTTTAAGATGGAACATACTAGATGAAGTCTTTTAATAATAAATTTCTCTAGGTTAAACTGCAGTTTCCATAAGTATAAACATTTTATTTCAATTAAAGGTAGCAGAAATACAAAATAAGAAGTTTTGATAATTATAAAGTAGAGATGACAAATACCGCCTATCTTCAGTCTTTAAAGTCTTGAGGATCATTCTGCTCTGATGGTTATGTAAACAACTGGGGATTTACACAGGACAATACTATCTTGGGAATTTTTCTGAATGCAACCCAACCCCAATTACAATATATTAAATTCTCAATTATATTTTCTTCAGAGTGCTGTTAGCATTAAAAGCACTGAACTACAGAGCAATTAAAAAAAGAATATACCAACTAAATAGTGAGTCTTCAATGTCTACTTTCATCAACTTGATAAAAAAATGACTGCAATAGCGAATATATACTTCGGTTCTCTTTACACGATTCAATGGGAAACAAGTATCTAACTTCAACTACCTTCATTCTTAAGCATGAGCGTCTTCATGCTAACTTAATTTAGTATTTCTTAAAGCTTTATTCTTTCATAACATCTGGGCAACAAACATTAGAAGTCATAAATAAAATCTGTGATGGTAACATAATTCATTTGGTAATTTGTTGCCCAAGATACACAGTAGAGTCACAACACAAGCAGGTTTACCTTACAACATGCTCTGCCAGAAAGACAAACAACATAAATAGTTCAGAATATTATACCAGCCTACCATTCCACTCAATGAGTCTATGCCCCTTATCTGGTCTCAGTTCCCTCTTAGCAAAGGCATATCACAGTGCTGATTGAGTATAAACTTTAATCATCTGCACTTTTTTAATACAATGTGGCCCCTAAATGCAAACCAATTCACAGACACACAAAACCATGTAAATGGTACTTCTAAAGTAATTTAGGGTAATTCTGACTATATACAATTCTCACTGCACACCCTGACTTGAGCATCAGATTCCACTGTAACTTTTTTTTAGAGAATTCTGTTCTTATTGGTGAGTGTCCTGCAGATTTGTGTCCTCATTGGAAGAGCTGGTTGATTGATAAGTATAAAATCCAGTAATTGCTGAGATTTCCCCATCACTGAAGCTGTGTTGTCTTGATGGGGATAATACTATTAAAGTCCAAGAAAAAAGGTCCTTCTTGTTTAGGCAAAAAAGTACTGGGAATGATATTGTAAATCCCAGCAGGTATATTTTCAAATTCCAGGTAGCAAAACCCACACCTGTATTCAGGGAAAATAAAAATAAGTCTTACAGAAGATGATGCCACAGAAAGCAAAATATAAATCAGATCTAGTCAAAATGCCAACCTTACCTGTAGTCACCACTAGATTTCCTCTGAAAGCCATGGGGACCAGGATCTCCCACCATAGATACTGCTACAACTTCAAATCCAACACTATATTGCCTAGCAATAAAAAGGAACAGAATTACCGCTACGCAGTCTCAAATACATACCTAAAAATAAGTACACCTAAAGTGCAGATGTACATTAAAATTATGTGTATGCTTTCTAAAACTTCAGTAGGAAGAAACAATACTAAGAAACACATGCATACTATTTTTACTCAATTACAGAAAACACTATATTTTTAAATTGCAGCCATAAAGATTAATATTAAACTTACTTTAGGAGACTACATTTTTACTGCAGGCTCCCAGATAATAATGTTAAATTTGTCATTGTATTAAGCAGAAAAAGTGGGACAGGAAGAGAAAACCCTGAAAAAAACCTAAATTTAAGAAAGTAATTAGCATATGCAGACATGGCATTCCAAACTAGTAGGGAAAAGAAAGATGATTTAGTTGGTGATGAGGTGACACAAACTTAAACTGTTAAATTGTATCTCACGCCAAATACAAAAATACATTCCATATGGATTAAAAAGTAGAATGTGCCCTGGCTGGTGTTGCTCAATGGTTAGAGCACGGGCCCACACACTGAAGGGTCATGGGTTCAACTCCAGTCAAGGGCATGTACCTGGGTTGAAGGTTAGATCCCTGGCCCAGGTCCGGGGGTGGGGGAGGGGGGCGCACATGTGAGAGGCAACCAATCTCTCACATTGATGTTTCTCTCCCCCCCCCACTCTCTCAAAATCAATGGAGGAAAATATATATAAAGAAAATATGGTGAAAATTGCTTTACTACTGGGATGAGATTTCCTGCCCACAGCAAAATAAACTAGAAAAGACTGATTACTTTAAAATGAACTTTTTTCTATGAGAAAAAAATTATCTGGGAAAAATATTTGCAAATATGTGAAGGAGTTAATATTCTTACAGACATACCCTAATTCATGCTTACAATTATGAAAAACATGACAACTCCAACAGAAAAATGGGTAAAAGACATGAATTAGGGAATATAAGAAAAATACACATTGTCAAGTATTTTTACATGTTCAATCTATCAAGAGATTAAATACAAAAGGGCAATTAGATACCTTACTTAGACTGGTAAAGGTTTTTAAAAATGACTGTGAAAAGTAGCTTAGTCATACCTAAATTAGAATTATTAGTTTCTTTTGAATTATTTTATAAAGCAGGCACAATTAAGCCTAGTTTTATTTAAAACTACTATTTTTCATTTGTATTCTCTAGCTTTTAAACCTTTTAAAATTGTGAAATATAACACAATGTACATAAAACAAATATATAACTTAAAAAATTTGTAAAATGAACACCTGGGTTACCACCACATAAATCAACTTCAGCACCACAGAAGTCCCTTGTATCCAACTTTCTCATCACAATTCTTGTACCCACAAAACTTTCACTTTCTTGCTTTGTATATACTGTGACTACCAACGTGTGCATCCTTAAACAAGTTTAAATTTTTTTTGTTTTAAATATATCTTTATTGATTTCAGAGAGAGGAAGGGAGAGAGAGATAGAAACATCAATGATGAGAGAGTCATTGATCGGCTGCAGCCCCCAACCCAGGCATGTGCCCTGACCGGGAATCGAACCCCGCCCGATCTCCTGGATCCTAGGTCGACGCTCAACCACTGAGCCACAGCCGGCTGGGCAACAACAGTTTAGTTTTGCCTGTTCTTGAATTCATGAAAATGGAATCACAGTATATATTCTGTTGTGTGGCTTCTGTTGTTCATTATTTTTAAGACTTATCCATCATGTTGTGGGTAACTATTATTTTCACTGTTATGTAGGACTCTCTTTTATGACTTTTATAATCTTAAATGCCACTGATGCACATCTGGGTTGTTTTAAATTTTTGGCTCTTAAAATGGTTTATTGGCCATTTGAATTATCTTTCTTATGACATACCTATTTAAGTTTTTATTTTAAAAAAAGTGCAGACTTTCTTACTAATGTAGCACATGTAAAAATCTTTTTATTAAGGTATCTCCTATATTAGTAATCCACCTGGAACTGATTTTGAGATCTGATATGAGACTGGGCTCTTAGTTACCTTTTTGGTACATGGATACTTCATTATTCCAGCACCGTTTATTGAAGAGTATCCTTTCCCCACCCCTATGCAATACCATCTTTATCATAAATCAAGCATTCATATGTACATAGGTCTGTTTCAAAACCCTATTGTTCTACTAAGCTCATTAACATAACATTGTTAACTTAAGAAAGTTACTCATCACAAACCTTGGTCCTCTTAGCTCTATCAGTAAAGGCCCTGTTTTTTCTATATGGAATTGGTAAATGGGATTATTTTTATGAGTCTCTTGGAAATTTCCACATCCTCCAGCACTCTGACCACTCCACTTTCCGTGAATCTAATAAAACAAAGTTTTTGTATTAACAAAACTTCACCCTCTCCAATTCTACATTAAAGACAAAACACCCCTCTACCCTCCCCAAAGATGTCAACTTCCACTCTGGCTCCACCCTCTCTCTCGTCTTTGCCACTGATAGTTAATGTAACTTCATTTCAGCCAGGCTACTTTGCTGTACTGAGTGCTCTCTCCATCCCTAAGCCTTCAATCAAGCTGTTCTCCTGCACATACTCTACACCTGAAGCCCCCACCCTGCAAAGTCAACCTCAAATTCTACTTAAGAAGCTCATCCACACGGCCTTCCCTAGTGACCAAGGTTTACACTACGCTTTCTCTGAATTTCTTACTTCTGTCCACAGAATCACTTACTGCTGCTCACTGAAGATCTTGCTTTCCAACCCAGACTCAATGGAGGCGATTTACACTTCCCTTATTCCTTTCAAGCTCCAGAGTATTTTATTTTGTAAGAAATTGTTAAATGTGAAGAATGATGAGAGAGAGAAAGGAAAGGGAATTCTAAGATTTCTCTGAGATCAACACCCAGATACAAAATTCTCTTACCTGTTTTGATAAGGTATATGGTGAAGGAATCTTTGAAAAAGTAAAGCTGCATGCTGAATATACCTAGATTAGAAAAAATTACTGTACTGATAAA